TATATAAAAGTTGCGTATTTATAATTGAAATAATTGTTTTACTTATATTAATGCTATAATTATAATTATTTCTTGATATAATTAACATTAAAATAAAAATTGTATTTTTTATATGTTTTATCTATATAAAATGTGTTATTGCTAATTCTGACACGTGTGGCAATCAACCTTGAATACAATATTTTAATATTTTTTTTAATACCTAAGGGATGTAGGTGTATATTATAATATACGAGTATAATATAATCGTATGTACAGGGCCATATTCGACGGAAAGATGTTTTTTTTTTCAATCATGGGAAACGTCATTACTCGATCTAACATCTCTTTCCCATGATTGAAAAAAAAAACATCTTTCCGTCGAATATGGCCAACCCTGTATATAGTATTTTAAAAATTTATAGTTACTTTTTCCTAAAAATCACTCAAAAACTATGACAAGTTTCCATATTTTTTTTATACTTTCATATAATATTAAAATTTATAAAATGAACGGTAATAGAATCAAATCTCTAGGTGCTTCATGTAGGTGGACAAGTAGACATTTTACGAGAAAAATTAGTCATTTTACCAAAGGCAAAGAAAACATCTGTCTCCATGATTATAGGCTCCTTAATTCGAAAACATCAAAACATCATCATTTTCACTGAAAAGATTGAGAATCTATACTCATACATTGCGCTAGCCCAATTCATATCAAATACTCTCGTTATATGCTGCTTGGGTTTTATCATCGTAAACGTAAGTAATTTTAATGGCTCTTTTGTAGCACAGATTAATAATCACATTTTTAACTTACATTGAATATTTATGAAAATCAATTTTTATTGTTTATAAGATTACTTTTTTTTATATACATGTATGTATATATATATATTATATATATGTATATATATTTATTATATGTATACGTATATTGTGATAATATGTGTGATAATAAATTATAATTTTAATATTTTTATAACGCAATTATTATTATTTTTTAAAAATAATTATTAATATTAGTAATTATTCTGCGATAAAAAAAATCCGACCGTGCACATATTTTCAATATTACAGTCGATCAGCGCCAATGAAGGCTCTTCTATGTTAGTGAGATCTCTTTTATTTTACGTCGTCATTAATTTAGAAGCATTTATTTTTTGTTTTGCTGGCGAATACTTAAGTATCAAGGTGAGTAACTGTTAATTTTACTATGACAATTTTATTTCTCTTATTTTCCACGTTTCGAATTTTCGCTTCGGTTTGACTTTCTACAGAGCAAGATGATCGGTGACGCGGCGTACGAGTCTCTATGGTACGATTTGACTCCCAACGAAAATCGAATTCTTCTATTCTTGATAATGAGGTCACAAAAACAACTGACTATCACCGTTGGCAAGTTCATGAATCTCTCTTTGCAACAATTCGCAAATGTAAGTTTTACGTAACGTTGCTCGGATTATTGTTGAAACTGTGCATCTTATTAGTAATAAATTATTACATTCGCTAAATGTAAACTATGAATTTTATAATATATACAATTATAATATTTATTTTTTATACATGTAGCAATTTTTTTTTGTTTATCGTAGATCATTAAATCGTCAGCATCATATGTCTCTGTGCTACACGCGTTGTAATTATAATTATTAATATTGAATTACTTGATACCGCTGAAAATTAAAATAATGAAAAATTATTTTATTTTTAATAAAAATAAATGATCAGCTGATGTCCCTTTGGTTAGCGTCCTTCTGTTGCAATAATATTTATGCAAAACGTTGTTAAACGCTCACAGTTTACACCACCAGCTCACTAAAAATATGCCTTTGTTTCTGAAGGCAGGGGAAAGAAAATATTTTTTATAAAACGTGCATATCACGGGCTTTCATCCCCTAAAAGAACTTTGAAAGCTCATTCTACGCTAAATTGCGGAAGTTACCCCGACGCCGACGCAGCCGGGAACTCTACCCTGTCCTCGTTATATTCGCATGTATTTCGTTCTGGCGATACCGCGCGATCGTGCCAGATGGCCACAACGAATAGATCGTAATGCCAATGAAATTATACTGAGATTACTTAGCGCTATTTCGCGCGTACAATTAGGACGCTTTCACACGGCAACGGAAATCAGCCCCTGGAGGGACAATTTTATTAGAGACAACCGTGTCTGCGTAGCACAAGTTGCTGTAATCCTATCGCCCCTCGCGGTCGTTCAATTTGCGAACTTCGAGTTTACACCCGGTACGAGAGAAGAGAATTTATGCCTCGTCGTTTATGTATCGTCTGGTAAAAATATACATCATATACGTTAACCGTGTCAAGGTAATGTATGAGAGAATTGTGGAATCCTATCCTTCGTACACAATTTCCTGTCCGTTAGAGAATTCCGACACAATATTATCCTACAAAAGTTCCTTAATGAAATTTCATTTTCAATTAGATTTTAAATTGAATTTTTTATGAAAATGTAAAACGATCATTTATTACGAATGTACGTTTCTAATTTTATTCTGTAATCACCTGTTTTAATTGCTTATATTAAATATTTTGACAAGAGAAAAATTTCGTATTTTTATATTAAATATTTTTTAAATATTAATTATTCATAATTATGTTTGAATCTGATACTGTACAGAATATTCGTTCAAAAAATTGTTCTACAGACTTATTTTACATACGCAGAGAATATAATTTTCGAAACAAAAGCTTTTATTCCCTGCGGTGATTTTATATCACTGTAGGATATGAACTTTCTAGATTGTCTAAGAATTATATCCTGATAATGTAAATCATGAATTATCTCTCTTCAAATTTTGTAATGATGTCTCCACATCTTACTAAGTAAGAATTATCGGGGTCGGAACGTTGGCATCATAAGTTTCTCTTCTCATCACTCTTGATTTTTGCATTTTTTTGATTTATTGATTTTGCATAGTTTCAACTTACTTACAACTTTCTTGAACTTTATTGACATGGAGCACTATATAAAATGTGTCAAGCAGAAAAAGACTATTAATATTCCTAAATAATTTTTTTCACCAGAAAAAATGCATTTAATTAATTCGTGTAGATACAATGAATACGCTGCTATGGCTTTTGAAAAAAATAATACGATTAGACGTCTTCGTATTATTATTTTTTTATCAGGTTGACGCATCGAATTTTTTTAAAAATTATACAAAAAGTAAATCTGTTATGTAAGTTATCTTTCTAGAGATACGACATGCCTCCCTATCACAATACAAATAAATTTTACTGTAATATAAATGTTTTATAAATTATTGTAAAAGTTATATATTTAATTTGATATGTGTTTTTTTCTTATTAGTTTCACCAAACATATGCGAGATGTGGGTCAAAAATAAAAAATAAGAGAAGGACTTTATATATATATTATGTACTTCACTATTTAAAATGCTAGGTTCGTTATCAGGACTAAAATTAAGTCCATCAAAACAAATACAATTTACTGAAATTTGATCGAGCTAATTTTCGAAGGAGTAAAACCTGGCTGACAATTTTACTTCTCCATCGTGAATCTCCAACAAGTAGAGATCTCACATGCGAGTACCCGCAGGTAATGAGCGAACCAGTCGTTTCCAACTTTTTGACGTTTAGAGGCAGTACGATTTTCTGGGGAAAGCTGCGCCAGTGGTGGCAGTCATGGTGGTGGCGGTGGTGGTGATGATGGTGGTGGCGGTGGTGGCGGCGGCGGTGACGGTGGTGGAAGCAGCGACGACTACTTCCCCGGGCCGAGCGAATTGGTTTCCATGGAAACCATCCCGAAGCCAATCCGGGGTGCATTCGTACGTACATTTACCCCTGTCGTGGCGCGTCTGCAGCACCCTCTCTTCTCCCTTCTTCCGCTTACTGCCCTCAACCTCTATAAACTCTCATCCTCTCGCACAGCCCTTCGTTCTCCAACATTTTTTCTCCGTCTGTTTTCCTCTCCTTCTTTCTTTCACTTTCTTTCCCTTTTTTGTTTCTCGATTCAAGTTGTTCCTTCGTCCGCAATTCCTCACCGTTTTCCGTCTCTTTTTCCTCGCCTTTTTCATTCATTTTATTTATTCCTTATCCACTTTTATTGTTTTGTCTGCACACGGTCTTGCCGTATCTTCAAGCTTCCATTTATTACTTCGCGCTCCGGTGATCTCGTCACTTGTGAATCAAGAATAAAGTTTCCGTCTCCATTTAAACATTTTGTTTAAATAATAAACGGACACAAATATAAATAATATTTTTAAAAAGTTATCAGACTTGTCTATGCATAGTTCACGTTCATTTTGTAAATGAACTTTTCTTACGCTAAAAATATGATTTTCAATACTAAATTACCATTTTTGTAATCTAGGTCGAGAGTTGAAAGAACTGCGATTCAATTGAGTTCCGGAGTATAAATTAAACATTTGGACATTCTGTACAATAGAGAACTTTTAACGAAGAAGAATTTTTCTTTATAATGTTCATCTTCGAGAAATATATACACGAGAAATTCACATACTCGAAGATTTTTACTATGTAAGGTATATAAATGAATATTAAATATCGTTCTCATTTAATATATTTCTTCCGTAAATCGTACACTTTTTTTATTAAAACTGTTATATTAGAACTGTTTATTTGTTATTAAAGGATTTTTTTTTGGCAGTCCATCCATCATAAAGATCATTAATTATCTTGTTGCTACCTCCTTTTTAGTCTTTGATTTTTCTATTACCTCTTAGCTCAGCATGCGCGTTCTATCTTTATTCTGCTCTCGTTTATTTCAGTTCACGAGGTTGTCGCTGGATCCATAAAGCGACGATGTGACATGTCGATCGTTACGCGACCCTAGAAATGTTATTACGTGTCCCATTACTCCTGCTCCAAATACTCAGCAATTCGATGATCAAGGATGTATTTCGTTCAACACATCATTCAAGTTTAGCGAATTATGCAAATTTCGCATTCGTCTTTATGGCAAGAATAATATAAATTTTATTTAGAGGCTGGAATTTAGAAGTATATATTTGAAAGAAATCGAATTTAAAAATTACAAATTATATCCTTTTAAGAGTATAACATTAAAACGTAATGCACTGAAAAGAGAGTTTAAAATAATAACTACCAAATGTTGAGTGAAATAATTTCAGTCAAGTGTTCGATTAATAAATATATTAATATAATAAATTTATAATATATTAATCTAATAAATATTTTAGTTGTAATATTATTATGTTTAGGAATACTAAAAATATTTATAGAAAAGTAAAATTATTTTTGGTTGTATTAACTGAACATTTAATTGGAATTATTTCACTTAACAATTGCCAGACTCTTTCTTTAATGTGTTGAAATTTGTATCTTATTAAAGTGTAATATACTGCAATAATAACGTTCTATGGAGAACGCGCAAATCATGAACTCTATCTGTCAGAGAAGATTTATTTCTTCCTTTTAGACGAAATAAATACATGTGGCAACGATTCTGGAACTTTGCTCGCAGGAAATGTCGCGGAAATCAAATTTCGCCTTGCAACGTGTGAGTACCGACTCTTTTGTTACTTCGTGAAAAACTGCGCAATATTCATGCGTAGAGGGGAAAAGAAGTTTGTAGTCAGCTTGTTCAATAATCCTCGAAGGAGATACGGCTGCTTTGTCGAAAGCTTAGAGTTCAGTTACTTTATTGCTTCATGATACATATTTATATTTAATTTACCAAGTCCTCGAAGACTTCTTAACCTTTCCTCCGCTGTGTAAATGTAAACGACTGTGTAATCACGGAAATTACATCGGAAAGTACAAGAGTATTGAGGTGAGAAGAATTATTTCAATTTCGTTATTAAAACGTGATAACAATGATTACTCCAATTTCCTAAGTCTTAAAGTATAATATCTTTCAGTCGATTTACATTTTTAATGTAAACGCGATTAAAGATGAGAAATTAATACAATCGTTGTTCATAATTCACACAATGTGATTACAATATGTAAACGAGTACGATAAGAAAACTGGTTTATAATTCATGAGTTACCCTCCGGTTATCACTCATGAATCATTCGACGGTCAAATAGCTATCGGTAGAATTAAAATTCATACCGAATGCATTACTCAACCGCAATTAACATGCATTAAAGCACGGTGGTTTTTCACTAGAGCTGACATGTGCGATCAGACCGATTTATGTAACTCCTTTTTCCCTCTGGCGATGTGATTTAACATCCACAAGCATAATTTAATTGTAAATATATTGCAAGTGCACATGTTATTGACGCATATTCAAAATGTGAGGCAACCACGCGACGTAGATTGCACGTTTCAACATGATTCGTAAAGGTAGTGGATTCATATATGACGATAATCTATCTTTATCATATGCATCAATCGATCATGAAAACATGCCTTCGGCATTCGCGATGGTCAACACAAGAACACATTTCTCGATATGAGTAATCAAACGAATCACTTGTACATTCAAGGACCATCCCCTTGCTTTAGGACAAGAGTGTACATATAGACAAAATGTCGGTCGATTGTGCCCGAAGGGCACTTTGTCGATCGTGCGCTCTCTTATCCTTACACATAGACTTCTCGCGAGATGTGTTTTCTCATCTTTCAACCTTTTCATGTTATTGTCTTCCTTTCCGTCATAAAAAAAAAGTAAATGTCACTTTCAATTATTCGATGAAGA